CATGTTTTCAGTAGAATATTGTGTAATTTGTTTTGGAAATCTTGAGTTTAAATATTGGAAAATGTATTTCTCTTTATTTAAGGGAACAAAATCTATATCCACCCGGAGTCCCCAAACACAGGGGCTCACTGGATGAGACAAGAAATCTCCTTCAGCAAACTGAAACTCACAAACAACAAAGGGACGAGCCACAATACTTCACAGGTACTAAACTCAAAACTGAAAATAACTAAAGGCCTGTAACCCTCAAAATAGGTTGCAAATGGCAAAACATTTTCCATTACACCAAACCTTCATTCAGTTGTTGTTTTCAATATAGATTAGTCTGTTTAATATATACTGTAGTGATGTACTTTTACTATATTTTGTTCATTGGCACCTTGATAATTAATGTGGCACAATGAAAGAGTTTTGTATTCGGACTAATTCAGACTTGAAGAGCTAACTACATTGTTTGTTTTATTTTTTAATTTGTGCTAGGAAGGAAATTAGTTTAGATATTTTTGTGTCTATGCAAAGATGATGTGATGAAATTAAACTACAGTAGTGCAAAAATAATGCTTAAGTCATATAATTGCAGGACACAAAGTTATTCACTGAAGCTTTTATAGATTTTTATTTTTTTTTGTGAATAGCGGTGACGTTGGAAATTATCGAGTGCTTTAATTTTTTTTTTCAAAATTATTATTATTATTTTTTTATGCAATAGATGATTGTTCTGCAATCCCTGCATAAGTACCAGCCAAGGCTGCACATTGTGGAGGTGACAGAGGATGGAGTGGAAGACCTTAACAGTGACCTTAAGACCCAGTGCTTTACTTTTCCAGAGACTCAGTTTATAGCAGTCACTGCCTACCAGAACACAGATGTAAGTGTGGAAAAACTCCAGCCTCCCTTGGTTGTTGTTGTTAAATTTTATTTTAGATATAAGCTCCCATTAATAGGTCCTCAGAGCCGTATGCATGCATTATATTTAATCGTTTACATACTGCATATTATAGATTTTTAATCAGTTTAGAATTCCCGTTTATTAAAACTTGTTCAGTTGGCATGGGAAGCCATTTCTAACTTTAATCAGCCATAGTTTTCCAATGCAAGCCAAACATGAGGTCTATAGCTACACAAGCATGATGCTCCTTTATTCTTTGCTTTTCCAAATCTAAAATGTAGCTTAACCTTGTTTTAGATCACGCAGCTGAAAATTGATCACAACCCTTTTGCCAAAGGATTCAGAGACAATTATGATTCGTGAGTATTTTGTATGCGCTTACATTGCTGTGCATCTCTTTCAAAGCAAACAAATACATCATACTGTGGCTACACCAATTAATTCTGAAAGAACTTTCACATTGAACTGTCTTGACCTCATGTCTCATAAGTACATTTATTTATTTATTTTTTAGGATGTACACAGCTCCAGAGAACGACCGCCTTACGCCGTCTCCTACGGACTCTCCCCGTGCCCACCAGATTGTCCCTGGCACCCGCTACGCGATGCAGCCCCTCTTCCAGGATCAGTTTGTCAACAGCCTTCCTCAGAATCGCTTCTACAACAGTGAGAGAGCTGTACCGCAGACTAACAGCCTCCTCTCGCCTCAGTCAGAAGACGCAGCTTCGCAGAGGTGGTTTGTCACCTCAGTGCAGCAAGGGGGAAGTAGCAGTGGCACCACCAACAAGCTAGATCTGACACCCTATGAGGGAGAATATTCAAGTTCCCTGCTTCCTTATGGTATCAAATCACTGCCCATGCCTACATCTCACGCTCTGAGCTACTACCCAGACTCCCCGTTTACTGCAATGTCTGCAGGGTGGGGGTCTAGAGCAGCATACCAAAGAAAAGTCACATCCAGTCTGCCTTGGTCCCCCAGACCCAGCCCCACTGCCAGTTTCGCAGAAGACTCAGAAAAGGTTAAAGCACAGATGGAAGAGGAGGTGAATGGTAGCGGAGCCCTGATCAGCTCCTGGACAGAGCCACAACCATCAGCTCTTTCCTTAGACAAGACCAATTCCTATTCTCTGGCCTGCAAAAGAAGGCGTGTGTCTCTCAACGGTCCAAGCACAGAGGAATCCTCCAGCAACACCAAGTGTGAGGACTTGGTCTCTGTTCCCACCAACAATGGCTACAGCAAGGAAGCCCCCCCATCCAAAAGCATGGCAGCTTACTATCCATTTTACACAAACCCTTAAACGTTTGTTTGGTCTTCATCTGCTACCATGAATGAGAAATATTGTTTTAGCTTTTTTTTTTGTTGTTTTTTGTTATATGAAGACCCTTATTTTGTGTTGACAGTGATAAATGTCTTTTTGTTTCTTTTGTGGCAAGACAGAAAATGATGAAGAAAAATAATGGCATTATAAGAGATGCACGTGGTACATTGAGCGTCTCCGTCTTAAGGCTTTTTGTTTGTTCCCAAACCGTATATATATATTTTTAACTCCCCTTTTATTGAACTGAAATTTACAAAGTGCCAAAGCATTCGTTTAAGGTGCCCTGTTTTTTTTTTTTTTTTTTTTTTTAAAAGTGTGTTACATTTCATTGTTGCATACATTTATGTATCTACCCTTACACTGAGATTAAGCTATGTGTTTACAGATTATATATTGAAGGCCTGTTCATATGAAATGTGTGCATTCTTAAATATATGAGAACAATATGCTGTATATACCTTAAATGCAAAGTTCAACTATTTGATAATAAAAGGCACACGTGTTATGTTGAGTTTCGATGTGGTTATTTCAAGTGAGTGGAGACGGCTAAGCCCCTGCTTAAATACAGTGTAGTATGCATTTAGTATTTGTTTGGTGTAGGTTGTGAATGCAACTGAGAAATACTTTCTGCAATTACTCACGAGGCGTGTGTAGGAGATGAAAAATGAAGAACGGCGCCACTCAGCAGTGTGATTTTTCTGCGGACTTTGGCGCACTCTAGTGGTCTTTTTCTGTAATGGCGGCTATTACAAATCATTAGCCTGTTGAGTTGAACGTCTACTCCATCCCATGTTCACCCCAGAGAAGCCTAAAGCAGAAGCGTTTATAGATTTACCCGTTTTAGAAAGATTTCAGGTATTTTTCCGTTAGTGTAAGCGCGTACGCCGTACTTATCTTACCTATTTCCGCTTCAGATATGATGTCCGGCTTTATGAAGGTGTGAATAGCTGTGATTTCAAGGGGTAAAAAAACAAACTAAACAAACTAAACTAAAAAACATGCACTTGGTTGAAATTAATGTTCAAGCAAAGCTTAGGCTTTGAAAAATAAGCCGGCCACGTCTTTCTCGCCTGTTTTAGAGGGTTGTTTTGAAACCTGGCAACCCGACTAGTAGCCAGCAGGAGCCACCAGAGTCAACGGAGAGTTGACTGGGGCAACAGCAGAGCTCATAGCTCACATTGTTTATACAGGTTTGCCCCACATAACGAGAAAGATCTTTGCTTTACCCTTTGCGACTGACAATTCACTCACAAGGCCAGGTGTACAACAGCAAGATGTACAATCAGTGTAAGTCGAAATACTTGTTATTCATTGTTTACGGAGTTTTTCAACTGTACTTGCTACCGTCAAGTTGGCTAGCATCGAGATTAGCACGCTAGCTCAGCCAGCCTCTAGCGTGTACACTGACGTTGGTCAACGCAGATGCTAGCGTCATGAGGTTTTTTGTTTTTGAATATTATATAGCTAGCAAAGCAGCAGAGTGTTTTGTCAGTACCAGTGGCATTGTCGACAAAAGGAATGGTTTGCAGCTGACGTTTTCTAAGGTTGGTTGTCGGCAGATTGGTTTTATTTTCAACCAGCAGTGGAACAAAGCGTTATCGGGGTCTGTTCATTAACACAACATGACACGCTGTCGTCGATTTTCTGCTAGCGAAAATGGTAAACACTGCACGACGTGGCTACAGGCCTGCATGAAGTAGTTTAGTGACAAGTGGCGGCTACGTGGAATAACGTTTTTATTTTTCTCATGTTAACGCTAGCTGTTGCTGTGAGCTTTAGTTAGATGTGGTTGGTTGAAGCTGTAACGGGGGAGTGTCGTTGACTGTTGTAAGATAGGTTAATGCTGTAGTTATTCATTTAGAGAGCACGCTCGTTGAGTAATATGTGTTACAAACTATGAGATTATATAACTGTTCAAAGATCAGGTGTTTTTCTTTCTTGTTTTTTTTTTGTATGCCAAGGTGGCATACTGTTTGTCTTGCTTTGTGATGGTGTCTGGTCACTGGGGTAATCACATGGCACACGCCTGATCTAAGGTGGTGTTCACTTCCACTGGCTGGTCTGTTTACATGATGCATAGCGTTATTTAAATGTACGACAATGATGGCAGGGGATGATTTCATATGTTAAAATGGTCGATATAAGCACACGTAAATGTACACAGTATTTACCAAGTGAATAAATGATAAATTATTCATATATGTAATACTTGTTCCTTTTCCACCTGTCTCCATTCTACCAATCTTACTAAAGAGTGAAAACACGTCTGTGCCATATTGCTATTCTAATTGATGAATAGATAACCACGTCATAACTTTGGTATTCGTTGTGTTACAGTGAATAACACACTTTCCCAGAAGACTACCAAAGGTCTCACTCTTATCTTCCTTACTTAGTTTAAAGATTGACTGATTAGAACAGTGTGTCAGACCTGTCCACGGTCTTGACTCTGTTTATATAACTGCGCAAGTAGTTAGCTGTTTTCAGTTACTTTCTAACCTATGGAATGCTTGGTATTAATGGGAGATGGGGATTTTCGGTGAGTATTCATTCCTTCCATTGCACACATAACTTGTCTCCACCAGTGAGAATTTTGTTATTGGGAAATTGAATGCGTGTTATTATAAAACAAATTATGCTGTGTCCTGTGTTCGGTGTGCTGCCGCTTACTAAAAATACATAAAGGTATCACATTGCCCTGACGGTCGTGACCATATGGTGCCCTGGTGGAAGCGGAAAGCGGACTTGCTGTGTGCTATTCTTCAGTTGAGGATATCTTGCTTCATAATGAGCCCTGGCCTCAGTGGGATGAGTAGCTTTGGCACGGTGAAGCGGAAACTCCTGGTGATGCCAGAGGAAGCCTTGTCCATCTCTGTGTGGGCTTTGTCCTCACTATGTTTAGGTATTCAAGAAAAATATATAAATAAATTAAAAAAAAAATAAAAAGAGAATCAGGGAGCTGGTTTACAGTGCAGTGGGGATGCTGACGCAGGAGCTTGTGGCAGAGCAGCCTGAGCACCCTTGAAGACTGAATTCTTGTTTTGTGACCAGAGGGAGTGGAAGTCAGCTGTACAAAATGAGGCAAAGTTGCTTTTCCTGAAACTGGTGAAAATATTTTTGACTTATTGGGAGGATGTGGAGACTTGTATGACTGACAAACTTGTTGTCCATTTTCTCGCTTGAAGAGCCTTATTAGGCTCAGGCATAAAGACGTTTTACTCCAATTTTTTGTCTTTTTATTAGGACATGCAGTATGCTGGCTTATTGGACTTGAACAGGTGGAAGACGACTTAAGAGGCTGCTGTCCCAGTCAGACCTTTGGACCCACGGTAGGGGACGAAATGGGGAACACAGCGACCAAGTTCCGTAAGGCTCTCATCAATGGAGATGAACTGCTGGCTTGCCAACTGTATGAGAGCAACCCACAGTTCAAGGAGGCTCTAGATCCCAACTCTACATATGGAGAGTCCTATCAGCACAACACTCCACTGCACTATGCTGCCCGGCACGCCATGACACGCCTACTCAGGTTAGGATATGGCCCAAATAAAAACAAATACGCAAGCAGACAGAATGTATACTTCATATTTTTGAGTGTTGTCAGTGAGGAAAAATTGTTATTCTGACAGGGCCTGATAATGATTGGGTCGTAGATGGTTCTCAAGCTTTATGTCTAGTAACCCTTAACCTGACTTCTCTTTTTTTATCACTCAATGGCAGCTTATTCCATCTTTTCACTTTTGCTGTATTTTAAAATTCAGTTTTTCTTTTTTCATGTTTTTTTTTTTTCTATATGTCTCTGTCCCATCTGTGTCTCTACATAGCCATCTGTTAGCAGCTCTCAGGAATGCAACATGCTGAGCTGGAATAGAATGACGTTCCAAGAGCTTCCTATCTGACAAGCTAACAGCGCAGACTGTGCTTGTTTTTATCCCACTCTGGCCTTACTCTTAAAAAAACAAGAACAGTAGTTTAAGTCATATAACTGGTTGTATAGCTATAATTCTAGTTTATGGTTTTCACAAAAGCAATGAAATGTTGAAATCTAAACTATTTTGGAAAGTAATTGACCTGTGTTGCAATATACAGCTCTCCTTTTTTTAGAATATTGTGCAGTTAAAATGCTGTAAAATATTCAGTTACACTAAAAGCTACATGCACTATGCATAACTCATCTTTTTTATCTTAAAAAAAAAATCATGTTTACGTTCTGAATCAGCACCGATGTCATAAGAATTTGCAGTCTGTTGACAGTATCCCACAAAAGACAACGCATTACAATTTAACCATCCTGTCATGTCGTTATTCTCTTTTAGGTCTTTTCTCCTAAGCAAAGATGGCAATCCTAACAAGCGCAACGTGCACAATGAGACATCTCTGCACCTTCTCTGCATGGGGCCTCAGATCCTGACTTCAGAGGGAGCTTTGCATCCCCGCATCTCAAGGCCATATGAAGACGAACAGCGACGAGGGGAATGCCTTCAGATCGTGCTAGCATGGACAGGAGCTAAGCTGGATCATGGAGAGTATGAAAGGGCTGATGTCAATGCCACTGACAACAAGAAAAACACTTGCCTACACTATGCTGCTGCCTCAGGCATGAAGACTTGTGTTGAGGTGAGATTATAAAAAAAAAGATATTGCAGATATTTTCTCTGGGCTAGTGTAAAATTTTCTTAAGCGTGAAATTTTTTGGGGGGTTATGATCAAAGCCTCTGTAGCTGTAAACTGACCAGTTTCACTAAGACAAGGACAGAGAGTATATGAGGGGAAGGACAATAAATGAGGCCAGAGTAACTCTGATGCTCACACACATCGTTCAGCGTCTGCTCTTTTGTGTAATGAATATTTGTAGAATAGATCCTCACGTGTGGCCTTGTCCTAGAGTCCCTTTGGTAGGGAACTGTAATTTGCATCTTCTCATTCGCCCTCGCTGGTGAGTTTTTGGAAGATGCTGTGCAACACGGTACAACTTAATTAATCTCCTGGACAGCTCACACCAGATATAACAGTCAAATAGATTACGCGTGACTTTATTGTTATTGCATGTAATAGAACAAAATTACAAATGCTGCTCTTAAAATGTGCTTTAGGAAAGGCAAGCAGCCACTAGTTGTGAAATCCCCAGAAAGAACTGCTGTACAGCTGGTACTAATTTTAAATGATCGCATTTCTGCACACTGTCATTTATTTAGATGACTCTTCATTATAGAAATATTATTGTTGTCTTCACTCTAATTTCCCCCCAGAATCCATGCAGTTTATTACAAAATGCAATTTGCACCATGTGCAGAACATAATGTCGAGGCTGGAGATGCAGACAGGTATGTTGTGACGGAAAAAGAGACACCCTACTTCCAGGGTGTCAAGAAATGCCATTCACAGACAGTTTAAAAAAGTAGACTCAAGCACAGAAATGACAGTTACCAACAGAAGCCACCACCTCCCAAAAATTACCTGAGCTCCTTTAATTGGCACTTGATCATCAAGACTTAGTGTGCCATACTCTACAAAGAACTTTGAAGTAAAGTGGATATAAGTGAACTCTTTTTCAGTTTTCTCGAGGTGGGTAAGTTGTTGCTATTTTTTTTTTTTTTTTTTACTGAAGTCATAATTGCAGTCTATTATCAAAATAACTGTAATTACCGTTTCATGCCTTAATTCTGGATACTTTCCTCTGATTACTGTTACAGGGTGAGTGGTACTCCACTGTGCAAGTAATCACAGGTGTTTGGAACTATATATATAGTCAGCGAGCTTTAGTATCTGTTCTTGAATGCACGATGTGTTCCATTGTTCAATGCCAGATATTCCTCTTGTTTCTTCGTGCTCAGATGCTGGTGCAGAGAGAAGCGGACTTGTTTGCGGAGAATGAAAACCGCGAGACTCCATGTGACTCTGCAGAGAAGCAGCACCACAAGGAGTTGGCCCTGCGCCTGGAGTCGCAGATGGTCTTCTCTCTTGCCCCTGAGGCAGAGGGTATTGAGGCAGAATATGCAGCCCTAGATCGAAGAGAGGTACAGTATAACACACCAACAAGGAGTGGGTGTATAGCTTTCAGTTTATCACCCTCAGCTGGTGTGACTTAAAATGTTATTAGAACCAAACTTTAGTCCACAGCATGCTGTTTAAAAAAAAATCCCCCCAAAAAGTAATTTCCCTGTTGTTGCTGAATTAGGTCAAACTGTTTTAAATGAGCTACCCTGGTCATCCTAGCCTGGCTGATCCCACACAGTTTCTGTATTGTTACGCTTGATTTGTCCTTATAACCCTTTAGCTACATAAGTAAGGAATAGAAGCAACATATGATGGTAACTTTGCTCTTGGAAACATCCGCTAGTTGACTGTATTTCAGTGTTTACATTTTTGCAGGAGTTAGTCACATTCTTCACTTGAACTTGTTTTGGTTGGACACAAACAGACTCACAAATTACTCACGCAAAACAGTCTAGCTTAAAACATGTGATCATCATCATCAGTTTTAGTTCTCTGGGTCTGGCTAAGTCATGTGTCAGCAATCATTTATGTTTCAGGTGGTTGTAGTACTTATTTTCTCTTTATTTTCTCTTCCCCTTTTTTCACAATCTTTCTTTCCTGCCATTATTTCACCCATCACCCTTTTCCCCAATCTCACCCACTGTTGTCCTCTTGTCTCTTTCTTTACCTTTCTCTGACAACCTGTCTTTTTTTTCTTTTACTTCTGATCTTTGTCCTTACATTTCTTCTCTTATTATGTTCTTGTCAACCCTTTACTCTAGTTGTACGAGGGCCTGCGGCCACAGGATCTTCGGAAGCTGAAGGACATGCTGATAGTGGAGACAGCTGACATGCTACAAGCCCCTCTTTTCACTGCAGAAGCACTGCTACGTGCCCATGGTACTATTAAACAAACACAGTACTGGTTGTCCTTTCAATTGTTTGGACTAGTAATATCCTGACAGCTTAATGGGTAAACATAGTAACATAGTAGTTAAACAAATGACAAATATAGTTAAAGTATATGGACAAGGAAGCATTTGATACAGTGGTTAGATTTAATTTAACACCACATAAAACACTTTTCAACACTTTTCTACATATATATATATATATATAAATATAAAATGATAAAAC